GGCTTTGTAGCATGGAGTGGTCTGTACCTTTAGCGCATGGGCGCTTCCTTGCGGCGAAAGAACGAACTCGTACGATTGCAGCAAGGCTCCTTACTAAAATAGGGCGAGCTCTTGCTGCAATCGTACAAATTCGTTCTTTCGCCGTAAGGAAGCGCCCATGCGCTAAAGGTACAGACCACTCCATGCTGAAAAGCCCTGATTTTTTTCTCCGTGTATCTATTATGAAACGCTTTCATAATCATGTCCCTCTCATGAAACCGTATTTCAAACAATAAACTGAATATAATTATTACAGTTTATGATAATCAAATTTTTTTCTACAAATTCTTTTTATAAATCATATTTATAAGAATTTTCAGTTTATAGACTAAAAATTATATAAAAAATATAATTTTCATCAGCAAATTATATTTTTTTTATATAATTTTTAGTTTAAAGAATTTATAATTTGTGTTTACGGTGTGAATACACCTTTAGGTATTAGTGTGGGGGGTTTACAGTGTGAATACACCTTTAGGTTTTCAGTACGGTGTGAATATTACTGTAGGTTTTAGGTGTATTTACGGTAAAAATACACCTTTATGTTTTAGGTGTGTTTACGATTTGAATACACCTTTAGGTTTTAATTGTGTTTACGATTTGAATACACCTTTAGGTTTTTAGTGTATTGACAGTGTGAATACACCTATAGGTTTTTGGTGTGTTTACAGCGTGAATACACCTTTAGGTTTTTAGTACGGTGTGAATATTACTGTAGGTTTTCAGTGTGTTTACGGTGTGAATGCACCTTTAGGTTTCAGGTGTGTTTACGACTTGAATACACCTTTAGGTTTTAATTGTGTTTACGATGTGAATACACCTTTAGGTTTTTAGTGTATTGACAGTGTGAATACACCTTTAGGTTTTTGGTGTGTTTACAGTGTGAATACACCTTTAGGTTTTCAGTATGTTTACGGTCTGTATACAAATTATTATTTTTTTAATTTAGTCCCAAATTTCAAAATAATGGTAGAAATAAAAAATAATTTTCAGTTATATTTTTTATTCGTCGGCGAAGAAGGTTAGAGATGATGTTTACTCACTTGTGGATCATAAAATTATTTTATAATGGCTTATACAATAACACTTTATTTCATTTGAGTTTAACCGTCTGCTAGGGGTTAAGAACCTTTCAAAGAATTTTAAGCTTCCTTTCTAACTGTCCAGTTACCGGATGGATTGTTCAAAACTTGAACTATTTAGTTTAAAGACATCTATATCTAGCAATAAATTCAAGTCCGTCGGTCATTCAAAGGAACATCATTCTTTTCCGTAAATTCTAATTTCCTCTTTTAACTTAAATTTTTTTTTTTTTTTTTTTTTTTTTTTTTTAATTTTAAATATTGAAGCCTATCGATTTACTTTTTTATATTTCATTAGTTGCATCCACATTATCTCCGTTTATAAATTATAAATTAATTTCAGTAAATTACCAGAACATGGAAGTTAAAAATATTTTCTATTAATAATTAAGTTAATTAATAAATAAATAATAAAGTAATCGATGAATAATGAAGTAATCAACAAATAAATAATAATATTTTTCGAACTTATGTTTATTTATTCCTCAATATTAATATTTTCGAAAATAAATTTGAAGGGATTGGGGATAGAACCCGGGTTCGCAGCACAGAAAGAAACAACCTAACCAACTAACCCAACCAACCATGTTATAAATAATAATATTAATCGTTTAATAATTACTTTTTTTTTTTTTTTTTTTTTTTTTTTTTTTTTTTTTAATCAGAAGTGGAAAATCTGTCTTATTTCTAGTACCATTATCAATTATTATTTAATAAACAAAAAGAAATTATTATTCAACACTAACTTAAAAATAAAATTTATTACTTACTAATTACAAAAAAAATGAACAATTACCATCTGGACTTAATTAAAAAATCAAATTAAAAACACAATTTTTCAACTTAACAATAGAAACAATAATAAATGTTAATTACAGACTAGACTCAGTGATCATATAAGAATAATTTCCGTTTAAATATAAAAAAAATGTACAATTATGTTATTAGAAATCTTTGTTTTAAAAAAAAATTTTAATAATCCTAGTTCTGTTTTAACTGGTTTCAAAAAAAAAAAAAAAAGGAAAAAGAATAGTCTAAATAGAATTACAATTTTTATTAATTTCGATTCTTATAGATTCTCGTGTTAAAAGAAAAATTATGATAATTATAAATAATTTGTAATATTACGCAACTTTTTTTTGTACTTTTTTGTAAAAAGAAAAAATTGTTTGTAAAAAAATTTTTTTTATTGCAATTCACGTCAAATTGTACAATAGAATCGGTTACGATTTTTATCTTTATGGTCTCTTATACGTATTATTAAGCTACTTTATATATTTCACTGGATATGTATTGGCAAATATTGACGAAAATTGATTTTCAGACAAATTCAACAGTAAATTATTTATTCACAATATTGAGGTTGAATTTATTTTTGGTTATTTTGAAGTATTTTTGAAAATATATTCAGGTTCTTTTTGGTTTGTTTACGGTTTGAATGCATCTGTAGATTTTAGTTGTGTTTACGGTGTGAAGACACCTTTAGGTTTTAGGTGTATTTACGATTTGAATACACCTTTAGGTTTTAGGCGTGTTTTTCCTTGTGGATACACCATTAGGTTTTAGGTGTATTTACGGTATAAATACACCTTTAGGTTTATGTCGTGTTTCCGGTGTGAATACACCTTTACGTTTTTAGTGTTGTTTTTTTTACAGAAAAATATAAAAGTTAATGAAAAATGAGTAAAATTTATGAATTTTAATAATTTATAAAAATTACAATGATAACTCTAAGATAAAATATTTTCAAAAAATTATAATAAAAAAATTTTTACAATTTATTATTTAAAAATATTTTTAAATAATTTTTGAAAGCTAATAGTTTATTAACATTTTTTATAATTCAATAATTTTCAAAATTTCGAAATTTCTTCAAAAGTTGATATGATTTTCAAAAATTTTAACAAAATAATAATTTAAAATATTTAGTTATTTTCAATTAAATTTTACAAAATTTTAATTATTCAAAAAAATTTTTTAAAAAAATAATTCTAAAATATTATTTATTTGTAAATATTGAATTTTTAAAAATTCAATTATTTTTGCAAAATTTGCAATTAAAATTCTTCAAAAGTTGATTTTTCAAAAATTGTAACAAAATAATTGAAAATATTAATTTTTTTTTTTCAAAATTTGCAAATTAAAATTCTTCAAAAATTGATTTTTCAAAAATTGTAACAAAATAGTTGAAAAAAAATTATTTATTTTCAATTATTAAATTTTACAAAAGAAAATAAAACTTTTCAAAACAATTAAAAAATATTCTCGAAATTTTTTTAATAAAATTCTTTGTAAATTTCAATTATTTTTCAAAATTTTCAATTAAAATTATTTAAAAAATTTACATTATTTTTACGAAATTCAAAAATTCAATTATTTTCAGATATAATAAATTTTTGAATAGAATTCTATATTATTTATGCAAATAATTGAATTTTTGAAAAAAAAAATTATCAAAAATAAGTGAATTTTTGAGAAAGGATTTTTATTTTCTCAAAATTTGCAATTTGAAAATTCTTCAAAAGTTGATTTTTGAAAAATTGAAAAAAAAAATCCTTGAAAAAATAAATTATTTTCAATTAAATTTTACATAAAATTTAATTTATTTGAAAAAGATTTTTATTATTGATAATATATTTGCGAAAAATTTAATTATTTTAAATATATAAAAAATAAATTTTTTAAAAATTTCTTTATAGTTATTTTTTGCACCAAAAAATTTGGTATTTTTTTGCAATATTTGTATTAAGAAAAGACAATAAAAGTCGCAAATTTTAAAAAATAAGTCGAAAAAAGTTTCAAATTTTCTTAATTTCCCTGACAAAAATTTTTTTTTCTGTCATTTTCCTGTCTTTACTGACGTGTGACCACCCTGATTATTATTATTATTATTATTCTCTTTTTCGTGACTTCTAATAGTGGTAATTAACCTTTACAGGTGTTTTTATTATTACTAATAGTCTTCGATCATAATCCTAATTATTCGGCTGTTCTTTTCAATTTTTCATTTTTCTCAAAAAGTCAAAATTCCTTTTGTGTCAAAATTTATGACATGACCTGATGAGGATGCCATAAAGCTTCGAAACGTTGCCAACATAATAAATAAGACATAAAGGCCTCGCAAAATTTACTACAACGACAAATTATTTATTATAATTAAAATTATCCATCAATTATTAATTTATTTACTTTTATATAATAATAATATTAATTATTCTCAATTTCCACTGCAATGTCATTTTCTTTTTTGGCAACGAAATAAAATTTTGCACTTTCCGGGGGTCTTTGATTTTTGTAAAAATTATTATTCTTAGTAAAAATGAAAACAAAAAAAAGAAAGAAAGGGGAAAAATATTCTTTACTAAGTGGGACAACTATGATTATTCGTAAAACGCACTCAGGGGAGGTGCAATATCTGACGTAAAGAGAAGTAGGTCAAGCAGGAATGCAAGACGTGCACAAAAAAAAGGGGGAGGAAGAAGAAATATTTGTCACCGAATTCCTAAAACTGTGTGTATACACCATAAAAGTAAAGTGAGAAAAAAAGGTGGGCCTATTTTCCGTAGAAAACAAAAAAAAACACCCCCCCCCCCCTCCCCATTCGTGTCTATTAACAGTTGCATCTGACGTCCGAGTTTTGTGTGTGACGTTCCTTCGGACGTCACATCGATCCCCCGACATTTTCACCCAATTTTAGTTGTCCTTTGGGGAGTGCACCTCATATCTACTCGCATTTGGCGCTGGGATTCGTACATTTTTCATGAATTTCAGTAAAAAATAATAGAAATATTACCTAGGAGGGAAATAAAGAAAAAGAAAGAAAGAGAGAGAGAGAGAGAGAAAAGGGTGCGGTGGACATGTTTAAAGGCTGGTACTCACCTTATCTGAAGGGATATTTCGCGAACTCATTGTAGACGCGGGGGTGGTGGTGGTGATGAGGAGGCGAATCCAAAGGCCGTGCTGGCAGGTGCTTTTTATTTTTCTCACTCAAATAAAAGGGGCGAGGACAATTTTCTCCGATTATGTCAGGAGAAAGTGGTGTAAAAAAACAAACCAATAACAACAACACCACTTCTTTTCTCGTTTATTTGACAGACGAGATTTGGAAAATAAAATTGGGTGATGGGTTGATGTTGTTGTTGTTGTAGTAACGATGATAATGATGATGATTTTTTTCTCGTTTTTGTGTGATTATTAAAAGAATCACAGTGAACGAGAAAAAAAATACACTTGAAACTCTATCACAAGAACACTAAAAATTTTCACTACACCATTTTTTCGATGTGAGTGGAGAAAACTCGCGTTACACTTGCACATTTGAGAGATCACACACCCGACGTGCTGGCTTACTTGTACATGTCGGGCGTTAAGTATTTCGGCAGCATTTTCGAAAATTAAAAAAAAAAAACTTAGAACGAGGCACGGGCTCAGGTTCTTTTTTTGACACTCCGCCGCCAGCACCACACAACCACCGTCAGTATCGGAGCCAAACACATAAAATGGCGATTCGATGCTGCATTCTTCAAGTACCCGCCATGAACTATGTGTGATGGAGATGCGTTCACACTGACGGGACTTTGCTTGTCAGCGCCTCACGTCACTTAAAGCTCGAACTACATTTTTCGCTGTCGGTAAAGAAAATTTCTCCGAAAACAATTATTATTTTTCAAAAATTTTATTTAATTCTTTTATTTTCAACAATTTTTATCCTATGAAACTTAAAATTTAAAATAAAAATTAAAATTCAATTATTTTCAAAAATTCAGATAATATTCTTGGAAACAATTTAATTATTTTTAAAAATAAAAAATATTGAAATATTTCGGAGGAATTCAATTATTTTCAATATAATTTTTAATAAAATTTCTGAAAAGAAAAATATTATTTAAATTCAATTATTTTCGAGAATTTTCATGTAAATTCAATTATTTTTAACAATTTTGTTGGAAATTTTTAATATTTTCAAAATTTTTTAATAAAATTCAAATATTTTTAAAAATTAGAAAAAAAAATGAAATATTTCGGAGGAATTCAAATTATTTTTAATAAAATTAATAATAAAACATAAGGAATATTAGGAAATAATAAAATTTTAAATATTTAAAACAGAAAAAAATTTTAATAAGAAATTTTAGAATTATTACGAGCGATGGTAAAGTAGAGAGTCAATGGTAACTTATCAAACTCAGAGGTCACTAGACAATAAAATTTGTGTTCTTTTCCTTTTTGACACTTATCCTTTATAACCTTTTAAGCTAAAACACGCGCTGTTGTCAAACAAAAAAAAAAGGAGAATTAATATTTATCCGAAAATTAGGAAAAATATAACAATTTAAAAAGTGTATTTCCAAAGTGAAATTGTTTTTGGTGAAAATTAAAAATATGTTTGTGGAGAATTTTCTCTAAACTAAGGGGAATTTTTATTTTTCGCAAATAATGTCGGCAATTATTGACGATAAAGTTGTTGATGGAGCAAAAGATCCGAATGTTGTGAAAGAAGATCCAATTCTTATTTTAACGGTAAATAATTATTGTTTCTATTATTTATTATCTATTGTTTATTAATTTTATTGCTTATTATATTTATTGCTTATATAGTTAATTATTTCACTGACAAAATTAACAAAATAATAGTTGTTAATTAACTAATAACATAATATTTACACTCTATAGTCAATTATTAGTTAACAAATTTTTTTTAAACAAATTATTCAATAAATAAAAATATAGACATTATTTATTTTTTTATTAATTAATTAATTTTCTTAAAAAAATTCTTAAATAATTATAAACACGATATTTATTGTTTACTATTAATTGTTAATTAACAATTTTTTTTAAAATTATTGAATAAATGCAAATAAAAATATAATATTTATTGTTAGTTAATTGTTACTTAAAAATTTTTTTTAACAATTTATTGAATAAATAGAAACATAATATTTATAATTTACAATAAATTTTCTTGTTAATAGTTAATTATTGCTTAACAATAAATAATCAAATAATTTAAATTCCTTGATAAAATTAATATTTTCAGTAAAAAATATATTTATTATTCAGCAAAAAATTATTTATTTAATTTTATTTATTATTATTTAGTATTAACAAAATTAAATAAATTATTTATAAAAAATAATTTACAAATAGTAAATAATTAATTTATTATTATTAAAAATTGAAATTCGTCAATTCGGTATTTTTCATTAATTGAATTTAATAAATTATAAATAAATAAATTGTTAGGTTTAATTTTAAATTAATTTTTAAAGAAAAAGGAATTTTTTTTGCGGATGGAATTATTTTTTGTAATTCTAATAAAATGTAATAAAATGAATAAAAATAATTAAAAGTAAATATGTAGTAAAAATTTGTTTTGGAAATTTTCAGGAAAAAGTGAAGTCACTTTATTTGTTTCGCGATCATTATTTCGAGAATCATGCAATTGAGGAGGCAATCAATAAGAATCGAGACGTTGAAAAAGAAATGAAGGAGGCTTTAACGAAATTCGACGATTATAAAGGCTATGAAATCGATGGCGCTCGTGCGAAATATTATTTTTTAAAAGGCAAAGCACTCAATGTAATAAATAGACACGTTCCACAGGCGGAGGAACTTTTAAGTAAAGCAGTGAAATTGGAACCAAAATTAATTGAAGCATGGAATGAACTCGGTGAATGTTATTGGAAAAATGACGATATTCAACAGGCGAAAAATTGTTTTTCCGGAGCTTTGCCTCACGTACGTTTTTCTTTTTTTAAATTTAACACCGAGAATAATTATTATTATTGATAAAAATTTTTCTTTTTCATTCATTTCATTATTTTACTTTTTTTGCATTCATTTCATTATTTTATTCTTTTTCTTTTTTTTGTTTATTTTTTTTTATTCATTTTATATTTAGAATATTTATATTTTGAATATTTTTATATTTTGAATATCCGCAATTTTATTTGAAGTTCATTGTCTAAGAGAGGAATATTTTTTTTCTAGGGCAGAAATAAGGTGTCGTTGAGAAATTTATCGATGGTTTTGAGACAAGAGCCAGCGACACAGGAACAAAGGATAAAAAATGTTCAGCAGGGTGTTGAGCATGCAAAGGATGCGGTGAGCCTCGACACTTCGGACGGTACATCTTGGGCTATTTTGGGTAACGCCTACCTCTCTTCATTTTTTACTGTTCAACAAAATCCGGCAACTTTACGTCTCTGCATGTCCGCCTACAATCAAGCCGTAAGAGGAATATAAGCAAAAAAAAAAGATTTATTTTCTATTTTTATACGAAAGACATTGATCATCATTTTTATAATTTTATTTTTTTTCATTCTAGGAAAAAGACATTATTGCCAAAAGTAATCCCGATCTTTTCTACAATAAGGCAGTGGTACGTAAATATTCTAGAAAATTTTGCAAAAGAATTCAATTATTTAAAAAAAAATTAATAAAATTCATCTAAAATTATTTTTATAATTGTAATAAAATTCCCACAGGAATATAATTAATTTAGAATAGTATTTTAAAAAAAAAATTCGAAAAAATGAAATTAATCAATTATTTAACAAAATTTTTATACAATTCTTCACAATAATTCAATTACTTTCACTAATAATAATAACATTTTTCATAAAAATTTAATTTTTTAAAAAATTTTTTAATTAAATTCAAAGCAAGAGTTCAATTATTTTCATAAATAATAAAATTATTCGCAGAAATTTAATTATTTTTCAAAAATATTGATAAAATTTCATCCCAAAAATTCAATTATCTTCATAAGTAATAAAATTCATCGCAGAATTTCAATTATTTTGAAATATTTTAATAAAATTTTTCGCAATAATTCAATTATTTTTTTAAATAATAAAATTCTTCTTAAGAATTCAATTATTTTTGAAAATTTTAATAAATTTCTTAGCAACTATTCAAATTATTTTTATAAATAATTAGAAACTTCAAATTTTTCACAAGAATTCAATTATTTTGAGTCGTCTTTATAAAATTCTTTGAAAAATTCAATTATTCTTATAAATAACAATATTCATCACATGAATTCAATTATTTTTAAAAGTAATAACAGGGTTCCTCCAGAATCTGGAAATAATGGAAATCATGGAAATTATAAAAAAAGGATTAAGATTAAAAACATTTTAAAAAGATTTTAAGATTTTAAAAGGCTTCTGAACATCAGGGAAATCATGGAAAAGAACTGGAATTTTTAAAAGTTTATAAATTTCTCCTGTTTTCCACTTCTTCTCTTAAATAGAAATTTAAATAATAATGAAGCTAAATTCCATAAAAGAGAGGAAAAAATGTTGAATTTTAAGAAATTCGGATTTTTGAATATTTGAAAATTTTTGATAATTTTAGATTTTTTACCAAAGAGTCGAGTCTATTTAATAAGTAAAGTATTTTCCAAGAGCACAAAAATAATGAAGCTAAATCCCATAAAAGAAAGGAAAAAATTGTGAATTTTAAGAAATTCGGATTTTTGAATTTTTTCGAATATATGATAATTTTAGATTTTTTACCAAAGAGTCGAGACTATTTAATAAGTAAAGTATTTTCCAAGAGCACAAAAATAATGAAGCTAAATCCCATAAAATAGAGAAAAAAATGTTGAATTTTAAGAAATTCGGATTTTTAAATTTTTGAAAATTTTTGATATTTTTAGATTTTTTACCAAAGATTCGAAACTATTTAATAAGTAAAGTATTTTCCAAGAGCACAAAAATCATAAAGCTAAATCCCATAAAAGAGAGGAAAAAATGTTGAATTTTAAGAAATTCGGATTTTTGAATTTTTGAAAATTTATGATAATTTTAGATTTTTTACCAAAGAGTCGAGACTATTTAATAAGTAAAGTATTTTCCAAGAGCACAAAAATAATGAAACTAAATCCCATAAAAAAGAGGAAAAAATGTTGAATTTTAAGAAATTCGGATTTTTAAATTTTTGAAAATTTTTGATATTTTTAGATTTTTTACCAAAGATTCGAAACTATTTAATAAGTAAAGTATTTTCCAAGAGCACAAAAATCATGAAGCTAAATCCAATGAAATAGAGAAAAAAATGTTGAATTTTAAGAAATTCGGATTTTTGAATTTTTTCGAATTTATGATAATTTTAGATTTTTTACCAAAGAGTCGAGACTATTTAATAAGTAAAGTATTTTCCAAGAGCACAAAAATAATAAAGCTAAATCCCATAAAAGAGAGGAAAAAATGTTGAATTTTAAGAAATTCGGATTTTTGAATTTTTGAAAATTTATGATAATTTTAGATTTTTTACCAAAGAGTCGAGACTATTTAATAAGTAAAGTATTTTCCAAGAGCACAAAAATAATGAAGCTAAATCCCATAAAATAGAGAAAAAAATGTTGAATTTTAAGAAATTCGGATTTTTAAATTTTTGAAAATTTTTGATATTTTTAGATTTTTTACCAAAGATTCGAAACTATTTAATAAGTAAAGTATTTTCCAAGAGCACAAAAATCATGAAGCTAAATCCCATAAAAGAGAGGAAAAAATGTTGAATTTTAAGAAATTCGGATTTTTGAAGTTTTTCGAATTTATGATAATTTTAGATTTTTTACCAAAGAGTCGAGACTATTTAATAAGTAAAGTATTTTCCAAGAGCACAAAAATAATAAAGCTAAATCTCATAAAATAGAGGAAAAAATGTTGAATTTAAAAAATTCGGATTTTTCAATTTTTGAAAATTTTCGATAATTTTAGTTTTTTTATCATTGAGTCGAGACTATTGGATGAGTAAAGTATTTTCCAAAAGCACAAAAATAATAAAGCTAAATCCCATAAAATAGAGGAAAAAATGTTGAATTTTAAGAAATTCGGATATTTGAATTTTTTCGAATTTATGATAATTTTAGATTTTTTACCAAAGAGTCGAGACTATTTAATAAGTAAAGTATTTTCCAAGAGCACAAAAATAATGAAGCTAAATCCCATAAAAGAGGGGAAAAAATGTTTAATTTTAAGAAATTCGGATTTTTGATTTTTTCGAATTTTTGATAATTTTAGATTTTTCACCAAAGAGTCGAGACTATTTAATAAGTAAAGTATTTTCCAAAAGCACAAAAATAATGAAGCTAAATCCCATAAAATAGATGAAAAAATGTTGAATTTTAAGAAATTCGGATTTTTGAATTTTTGAAAATTTTTGATATTTTTAGATTTTTTACCAAAGAGTCGAGACTATTTAATAAGTAAAGTATTTTTCAATAGCACAAAAATAATGAAGCTAAATCCCATAAAAGAGAGGAAAAAATGTTGAATTTTAAGAAATTCGGATTTTTGAATTTTTGAAAATTTATGATAATTTTAGATTTGTTACCAAAGAGTCGAGACTATTTAATAAGTAAAGTATTTTCCAAAAGCACAAAAATAATGAAGCTAAATCCCATAAAAGAAAGGAAAAAATGTTGAATTTTAAGAAATTCGGATTTTTGAATTTTTTCGAATTTATGATAATTTTAGTTTTTTTACCAAAGAGTCGAGACTATTTAATAAGTAAAGTATTTTCCAAGAGCACAAAAATAATGAAGCTAAATCCCATAAAAGAGAGGAAAAAATGTTGAATTTTAAGAAATTCGGATTTTTGAATTTTTGAAAATTTATGATAATTTTAGATTTGTTACCAAAGAGTCGAGACTATTTAATAAGTAAAGTATTTTCCAAAAGCACAAAAATAATGAAGCTAAATCCCATAAAAGAAAGGAAAAAATGTTGAATTTTAAGAAATTCGGATTTTTGAATTTTTTCGAATTTATGATAATTTTAGTTTTTTTACCAAAGAGTCGAGACTATTTAATAAGTAAAGTATTTTCCAAAAGCACAAAAATAATGAAGCTAAATCCCATAAAATAGAGGAAAAAATGTTGAATTTAAGAAATTCGGATTTTTGAATTTTTGAAAATTTATGATAATTTTAGATTTTTTACCAAAGAGTCGAGACTATTTAATAAGTAAAGTATTTTCCAAGCGCACAAAAATAATGAAGCTAAATCCCATTAAAAAGAGGAAAAAATGTTGAATTTTAAGAAATTCGGATTTTTGAATTTTTTCGAATTTATGATAATTTTAGTTTTTTTACCAAAGAGTCGAGACTATTTAATAAGTAAAGTATTTTCTAAGAGCATAAAAATAATGAAGCTAAATCCCATAAAATAGAGGAAAAAATGTTGAATTTAAGAAATTCGGATTTTTGAATTTTTGAAAATTTATGATAATTTTAGATTTTTTACCAAAGAGTCGAGACTATTTAATAAGTAAAGTATTTTCCAAGCGCACAAAAATAATGAAGCTAAATCTTATAAAATAGAGGAAAAAATGTTGAATTTAAGAAATTCGGATTTTTGAATTTTTTCGAATTTATGATAATTTTAGATTTTTTACCAGAGAGTCGAGACTATTTAATAAGTAAAGTATTTTCCAAGCGCACAAAAATAATGAAGCTAAATCTTATAAAATAGAGGAAAAAATGTTGAATTTTAAGAAATTCGGATTTTTGAAAATTTATGATAATTTTAGATTTTTTACCAAAGAGTCGAGACTATTTAATAAGTAAAGTATTTTCCAAGAGCACAAAAATAATGAAGCTAAATCCCATAAAAGAGAGGAAAAAATGTTGAATTTTAAGAAATTCGGATTTTTGAATTTTTGAAAATTTATGATAATTTTAGATTTGTTACCAAAGAGTCGAGACTATTTAATAAGTAAAGTATTTTCCAAAAGCACAAAAATAATGAAGCTAAATCCCATAAAAGAAAGGAAAAAATGTTGAATTTTAAGAAATTCGGATTTTTGAATTTTTTCGAATTTATGATAATTTTAGTTTTTTTACCAAAGAGTCGAGACTATTTAATAAGTAAAGTATTTTCTAAGAGCACAAAAATAATGAAGCTAAATCCCATAAAATAGAGGAAAAAATGTTGAATTTAAGAAATTCGGATTTTTGAATTTTTGAAAATTTATGATAATTTTAGATTTTTTACCAAAGAGTCGAGACTATTTAATAAGTAAAGTATTTTCCAAGCGCACAAAAATAATGAAGCTAAATCCCATTAAAAAAGAGGAAAAAATGTTGAATTTTAAGAAATTCGGATTTTTGAATTTTTTCGAATTTATGATAATTTTAGTTTTTTTACCAAAGAGTCGAGACTATTTAATAAGTAAAGTATTTTCTAAGAGCATAAAAATAATGAAGCTAAATCCCATAAAATAGAGGAAAAAATGTTGAATTTAAGAAATTCGGATTTTTGAATTTTTGAAAATTTATGATAATTTTAGATTTTTTACCAAAGAGTCGAGACTATTTAATAAGTAAAGTATTTTCCAAGCGCACAAAAATAATGAAGCTAAATCCCATTAAAAAGAGGAAAAAATGTTGAATTTTAAGAAATTCGGATTTTTGAATTTTTTCGAATTTATGATAATTTTAGTTTTTTTACCAAAGAGTCGAGACTATTTAATAAGTAAAGTATTTTCTAAGAGCATAAAAATAATGAAGCTAAATCCCATAAAATAGAGGAAAAAATGTTGAATTTAAGAAATTCGGATTTTTGAATTTTTGAAAATTTATGATAATTTTAGATTTTTTACCAAAGAGTCGAGACTATTTAATAAGTAAAGTATTTTCCAAGCGCACAAAAATAATGAAGCTAAATCCCATAAAAAAAAGGAAAAAATGTTGAATTTTAAGAAATTCGGATTTTTGAATTTTTTCGAATTTATGATAATTTTAGTTTTTTTACCAAAGAGTCGAGACTATTTAATAAGTAAAGTATTTTCTAAGAGCATAAAAATAATGAAGCTAAATCCCATAAAATAGAGGAAAAAATGTTGAATTTAAGAAATTCGGATTTTTGAATTTTTGAAAATTTATGATAATTTTAGATTTTTTACCAAAGAGTCGAGACTATTTAATAAGTAAAGTATTTTCCAAGCGCACAAAAATAATGAAGCTAAATCCCATTAAAAAGAGGAAAAAATGTTGAATTTTAAGAAATTCGGATTTTTGAATTTTTTCGAATTTATGATAATTTTAGTTTTTTTACCAAAGAGTCGAGACTATTTAATAAGTAAAGTATTTTCTAAGAGCATAAAAATAATGAAGCTAAATCCCATAAAATAGAGGAAAAAATGTTGAATTTAAGAAATTCGGATTTTTGAATTTTTGAAAATTTATGATAATTTTAGATTTTTTACCAAAGAGTCGAGACTATTTAATAAGTAAAGTATTTTCCAAGCGCACAAAAATAATGAAGCTAAATCCCATAAAAAAAAGGAAAAAATGTTGAATTTTAAGAAATTCGGATTTTTGAATTTTTTCGAATTTATGATAATTTTAGTTTTTTTACCAAAGAGTCGAGACTATTTAATAAGTAAAGTATTTTCTAAGAGCATAAAAATAATGAAGCTAAATCCCATAAAATAGAGGAAAAAATGTTGAATTTTAAGAAATTCGGATTTTTGAATTTTTGAAAATTTATGATAATTTTAGATTTTTTACCAAAGATTTGAGACTATTTAATAAGTAAAGTATTTACCAAAAGCACAAAAATAATGAAGCTAAATCCCATAAAAAAAAGGAAAAAATGTTGAATTTTAAGAAATTCGGATTTTTGAATTTTTTCGAATTTATGATAATTTTAGATTTTTCACCAAAAGGTGGAGACTTTTAAATAAGTAAAGTGTTTTTAAAGAGCCCAAAAATAATGAAATTAGATTTAAAATTTCACTGGAATTTCGTAAAAATTTGACCTGGAAATCATGGAGAAGTATGGAATTTTAAATTCGGATTTTTGTTGGAATACTGTAATAAATTTCTTCTTGGAAATTCAATTATTACAGAAAATTCTAATAAAATCGTACACAAAAATTTAATTATTTTTATAAATATTAGAATGCTTTTTACGAATTCAATTATTTTCAAAAAAAATGTTAATAATTTGTTCTAACAATCTTCGTAAAAATTTAATTATTTTTATAAAGAATTCTTCGAAAGAATTGAATTATTAAAGATAAATAACAAAATTATTTCCTAAAATTCAATTATTGAGGCATTTTAATTAAATTCTTTGCAAAATTGCAATTATTTAAACAAAATTTAATAAAATTCTTCGCATGAATCCAATTATAGTTTATTACATAAAAATTATTATTTAAGTTCCTCCTAGGAATTCAATTATTTAAAAAAATTTTAAATAAAATTCTTGAAAAAGTTTTCAATTACTTTCAAAAAATGTTATAAAATTCTTTAATATAATAAATTTCAGTAAGATTTTAATTAAATTTAAAAAATTATTAAAAATAATTGATTTAAAGAAGAATTGTAGTTAAATGGATTGAAAAAGTTTAGAAAAATTGATTACTTTAAAGATTTTAAGTCTAGATTTTATTTTCGTATTTAAGTCTATAATATCGATGGAAAATATTAAAATAGATAATTTAATATTATTTAAAAAAAAAAGCAGGGCAATAATAAATATGAATTATACCCCACCAGGCACTTAAGTATCAAGAGGAATATAAATCCGCACTTGAGGCTTTTGAAAGGTCGATGTTACTGGATCCAACATGGGATGTTCCTCGGACAAAGCAAGAGGATCTCCTTCAGTACCTCAAAGACCTACAAACTTCAGTTAATAGTAAAGGAAGACTGAAACCCAAGAGGCTTCTTCAAATGATAAAAGTAAATTTTATCTCTTATTCTAAAAATTCTTCTCCACCTATTTACCTACTTTTTTTTGTTTTAATATTTTTTTTATTAGAAAAAAAACCTTTCAAAATATTTCAAGGTTGATTATGAAAAATATTATTATTAAAAATTAAATTTCAGTCTCTAGACTCGAAGCATTTGGGACCTTATAGCGGCGGTTCTTACACAGTTGGAAACAAAACTGTAAAATTAGAACAAATTTTATTAAAAAATTTAATTCCTGGAGTGAATTTAGAAAAAGTTATTTTTGGAAAAGTTGTGTGTTGGATTCAGGATTCTGATTGTGTGCCTTTGTAAGTTTAACATTTAATATTCTAATTTTAACATTTAATATTCTAATTTTAATATTTAATATTTTAATTTTAACATTTTGCTTTCAATTTTTTCAGTACCTTTTGTCTTATTGATAAGGAGCAAACTTGCGTGGCTGTGACTGTTTATAATTTAGCGAAAGGCCGCGGTGTGACAAATGGTGATTCGGTCGCGATTCCTGAACCTTTCGTTACTCATCAGAAATTCAGTAACAAAGAACAAGTAAATAGACTTTATTTATTTTTTTCTACATCAAAAAACATAACATAAATTTATTAAGTTTGTTTAATATATAGTATTTTAATTATTTAATGAAAATTAAAATAAATTCTGTTAGTTGAGAATAAAATTATAATTTAATTGAATTAACATTAATTTAGTTAAATAAAAATGTATTTAATTCAATAAAAGTTGATTTTATTGAAGAAAAATCGATTGTATTGAGTAAAAATTAATATAATTGAAGAAAAATCGACTGAATTAAATTTTAATTGATTTAGTTAAAATTAAATTTATCCTAATTTAGTTCAGTTAAAATAAAATTTTAATTAATTTAATTCAGTTAAAATAAAATTTTAATTAATTCAATTTTGTTAAAATTAAAGTGGTTCTAATTTAATTCAATTAAAACTAAACTGTTCATAATTTCACAATTTTGATGATAATTATTTTCTAATTTTTTTTTTTTTTGTTACAGACATTTGACTTCATGTCGATAAGAGTTGAGACGCCATTAATTCTTGTTGTGAATGGAAAAAAAATGAGCTGGGAACAACAGGCGGGAATTAGAATTTCTTCAATGAAAAAAAGTGATTAGCATCTCTTTTTTTTAAATTTGAAATAGTTTTTAAAAAAAAACAATTTTTTTTCAAATTTTTTGTTTTATTAATATTTTTCAAAACTTTTAAGTGACAACCAATTTTTGTTTACAGTCACTAAACACAAGTTAGTAAAATTTATAAAAATTTAGATCGAATTTTACAAATTGTGTACAGAACAATTTTTCCTAGTCATAAAATTTTTTTCTATACAATCATTGACTCAAATTTTTTTTTTTTTTTTTTTTTTTTTTTGAACAAAGAAAATTAAATTTTGTACTTAAAATAATTTTAAAAAGATAAAATTTCTAATTATCGATTTTTTTTTAAATTATGATTATAGAATTATTTTTTAACAATATTGTAAAAAAAAAGAATACTATGTATAATTTATAACGACGATTTAAAAAAAAAATGTTTGTAAAACAATATTATAGATTTATATAGATAACTATAGATTTAAATATGATTTCGATCTCAGAAATAAAACAAATTTTCAAATTATTTCTACGATATTTGTGATATGAAACTCAGAAAAAAATGTTATTTCTTTCTTTCTCCTTTCGTAAATTTATAATAAGTAACACGCTCTGAATAAGGGAAGCAAAAAAAATTTTGAGGTTATGTTTCATTTTTATAAATGTTAGGTATTTATTGATTTATTAATTAATTTTTTTTATTATTTTTTATTTATTTAATTTTTTTCTATTAAATTTATGTTTATCTTAATTTTTTTAAAAATGGATTTATCAGCTTTTGAAAATTTGCTCCTCAATTTATTTATATTTTATTTATTTTATTTATTTTATTTATTTTATTTATTTTATTTATTTTATTTATTTTATTTATTTATATTATTTATTTTATTATTTATTATTATATTTATTTATTTATTTATTTATTTATTGAAATGTTATATAAATAACAAACGGTTTAAACTTGTTTAAAGATTTTTTTCGAATTAATTAATCTTTTTTTGTAAATTAGGGAATTCCCACTCTCTCACTATTCATTTTAGGCACTTCTACAATAACTTTCTCTTAATCGCACTTCATTTTTTGTTAGTTGCAGCTGCCCAACCCTGCTGAATGGAATTTGTAACTTTTTCTTTCATCAGTCTTGTTAAATTTATTTAATTTTTTATTTATATTTTTACTCGTTTAAATAATAAGAGAATACCTTCAGAAAGTAAGAAAATAAAAACAAATTAAAAGGATTTGTCACCGTCGCTTAAATTTTTGTGACTTTAGTTTTTTTTATTTGTGTGAATTTACGAGAAAGACAGAGACAAATATATTGCACTTGCGCGCATGCCCAAGTACTCAACATTCATTACCTTAGACTCTTTCTACAATGCATTCATTCAATTTTTGGTAATTAAGTGTTTATATATATATATATATTTAATTTAACAATGATGCAATATCATCAAAAGCTATTATAAAATGCTGATAAGAATGGAAATAAATTGTTATCGTTGTCAATATTTTGTTTCAGATATCAAAGAAGAAATTCAAACAAGTCTCATACCCATACATCGAAATATTTCGGTCTTACATTTTGGCGTCAATAATTCTCCATTCTCGTCGACAATTTGATGGCGCAATGTCGTGGATAATACTTCAAAACCAGCGTCGATACCTAATTTGGTCGATATTGGTGACGTAAAAACGGTATAAGTTGCCGAAATATTATTCCATCTACCAACTTCATTTCTGAAAAAAATACGAAATTGGAATTTCGCTTTGAATTTCTAATTTTTTTTTTCATTACTGTACGTACAGTCAAACGCATATATGCTTTCCTGATGGTTTTATGGAATTTTAAAAAAGTCGTGTCTGTCGAAATTTTCATAGTTCATGACATAAAAATTCTTACGTCACGAACTAAGAATATTTGATAGAAATGACACGACTTTTTAAAATTCCGTCAAACCGGAAGTACATCATATATGCATTTAGGTGTATGTGAGCACAGAACTAGGGTTTCTGCGTTCTGGAATATTTACCTTGCCGCCAAAAGATGGTATCCTAGTGAATTTCCACGAAATGATGGATCAACACTGAGTCCAAAGCATCCTAGATAATTCTTGCATCCGTATATTTTCTCCACATCAACGCCCTCTGACAGCATTCCCATAATTTCCATTACTCTTGCAACTTTCTTCGATTTACACTAAAATACGTTTTTACATTCTCATTTTAAATTGAAATTAGAATAAATGTTAGTGTTTCATTAACCCAATGTCGCTAGGTAAAAAGTTTCTAGGTAAAAGTTACTAGTTTATCACTAGATTGTGAAACAGCAAAGATAATTCACCTTAGAAGCGTCATGACTCCTGGTGGCATGCGGACTAACTAAAAATCCCATTAGTAAGAAAAGGATAGACATATCTTCGTCCTTTTCTTACTTAAATGTGATTTTTTAGTTAGTCCACACGCCACCAGGATCCATGACGCATCTAGATGAATATTACTATCTTAGGCTAGGGTTAATAAAAAAATTCATTCAATTTGTATTAAAGTCAGTTTTTACAATTGTATTGCTAAAATCAACTCTTTCACCCTTTCCGCCAAGAAAAAGAACATTCATTCCAGCAATTATAGGTTTTCCTCCTTTTGGATTTTCGAAAAATGCCGCTATACTTAAATTGTCCTCCAGTGCCTTTAGAAATAGTGATCTAAACTCCTCAACCGATTCTGAATCATCGACCAAATCTGCCAAAAGAGGAAATTATATTTTAAAAAAATTGTTATAATCTTAGCCATGGGAGTGAACATAGCAAACATATGTATGCATCTCTATTACACTCATGGTTCATGGCCTTGGGGACAAAATGCCCCATGGGATTCCCCCGTAAATAAAACAAATTCAAGAACGAAATGCATGAGATAGAAAAGGATAGATATAATCGTGTCCTTCTCTATCTCATACATCGTGTTCGCGGGTCGGCCATTTGCAAATTCGTTATTTTGAGAATTCTATCAAATATTAACAATTCTTGCAAATAAAAATTTGAAAAATGAAACGTTTTGTTTCAATAAATATTCTGGTGATTATAGATTTAATTAAATGAAAATTCGAACTTTAAGTTATTTTAAATAATAGTAAAAAAAATTGTGAATATTGAAACTTACATTCAGATGCACATAAAGGTTCATAAGCTAGAAAAAATTTACACATATGATCGGCGGCATCCTGATATCTATCCTTTAAAATTGGTCGAATAGTAAATTTCAAAGTTTTTCCATTTTTCACAATTTTCACATTTTTAACAAAATTAGATGAATTGGATTCCATAATTAATAAAAATAGATATTTATATATAAGTATTGAAAAAAAAATATAAAAGAACTAAATATGAACCTTGAGAGAATTAACCTTAAAAAACAGAATTATATGTACAAAAAATGTTAATAGAATGGATTTAAGATATACTCGATTTCCACTTTTAAACGTCTAGGAACATAATTTAACTTGTACTTGAAAAAATGATAAATTTTTTTGATAATTTTTTTTTAATCTAATAATCAATATTGTTGTGTTTAATCATGGGCTATCACTCTAAAAATAATCTTATAGTTAGGGTATAATAATTCTTATCTATTTTTGTAGTTCTACATACGTTTCTAAACGTATCACTTTTATGTACTTTACGTTTAACCTTGAAATCAAATTTAGAGCTTTTAAAAATATTTAACATTCGTACGTCACGAACTGAAAATATTTTATAGAATTGACGATTTTTCAAAATTCCATAATTCAAACCGGAAGGACAACATACATGCATTTGGCTGTACGTCCTCTTTCCGAAATTGTAAAGTCGGCGTTAATTTCTAAATTCTTTCACTGGGGATTCCCATCCATAAAGATACAAGCATTAAATCTAGTACTTTCTGGACAATTTTTACCGAATTAATATTTCAATTAAGAAATAAATTTAACTGTAATAACAATTTTTAATAACTAATTTACTATTTATCTAAATATAATTGTTCACAATTTGAATTTAAAAACCTTAAAATTAATAGTATACAATTATCTGGTTTCTGGGGAGAAAAATAAATCTAGTGAATTTTGGTAGGCAGAATATTTTTGTAACTAGTAGAGAATGAAATTTACATTTGGCAACACTGGTCGTTGGTGAAATGGCAGGCACATGTGACAGTTCTGCTTTATAAAGTTACAGTTGTCGAAACTCTTGCTAATTAAAGTAATGCAAGCAAACTAATAAATTAAATTATTAAATACAATAAATGCATTTGAAAATAATAATAAATTCTTTATTGTATTAGTTAATATAATAATCTTTTAATCAATACAAACTCGAATCTTTGCCAAGGAATTAATATTCATTTGTCATGGGTCGAAAACTCGTGGAAGAATTGACGCGCCGAGTGAAATATAGGTTATGTTTCTAAATGCAGACGAAGTGGTGAGTTTTATTCGTTTTATTCTTCACTGTCAAGGTAAGTAAATTAGAAAAATACAAAATGCAAAAAATAAGATTTTTGATTTGTTTTAAAGTAAAGCAAAAGACTGCTTTTTCAACTCACACATTTTTATTAATTTATTTTTGCCAGTAATGGAAAACTGGTTTTCTCATAAGTTTTAGAAGAAATTTAAGAAAAATAGAAGCAAAAAAGATCTTAAAATTTTTAATATAATAAAAAATTAATAATAGCAAAATATATATTTATAATGTAAATGCTGACTAAAAACTAATTCTTCAAATTTACTTAAAAATAAAAAATAAATACAAAAAAAAATTATTTAAAAATAAAATTCAATGAACTTGAAATCATTGTAAAACGATTTAAAAAAATGATCTTATTAAGAAAGTATATACATTCATTCATTAGTAAATAATAATGAATTTTTAAAAAAAATGCAGAATCATTTTCAGATGATTATTAGTAAATATACCTACAAAAATGTAGAGTGTAGAATGTAGAGCAACTTTTAATGTCTTGATGATGCAAACTAATAAAATATTGACTCACATAGGGTAAGTGTGTCAATTGTGGCGGGTGCTCCAATTATGGCGACTTTGTAAAAAATAGAATTATTTACTATTTTAGAATAATATAGTTATTTGAAAATGATAGAAAAAGTTATTTTCGACCTTACTCGATATAATTGTACGAAAAAAAACACATTTGAACTATTATTGGTTTAATTATTTAAGTACAAAAATTGTGCCCCGCCATAATTGGCACATTTTCATTGAATGTGCGTGCTCCAGTTATGGCGCGCAACACAACCTCTAAATACACGTTATTTTCCCCGCCGAAATTGACTCAACCGCGCCATAATTGACGTTTTTAATCTTAATTCTTATTGCTTTAATTTTGTTTAAATAATTAATTTTTATAAAGTTTTTATAAAAGTTTTATTATCTATATGACACGGGCTTTTAGTTTAATAAGCCATAAATTTACTTCTTTCATTATAATTTTTGAATTTTCTATTTCAAAGACGGCTAAACCAGAACCGCGCCATAATTGGCACACTTACCCTATATATATAAATTTTAATAATATTTTTAAGTTTTTAATTTAAAAATAATTTTAAATAACTAACAAAAGAAGCTATTTTATTTATTATTATTATGTAAACTACAAAATTTTTAAAAATTTAACTTTAATAAATTTTTTTAAAAGAATTCAATTATTATTTTTAAAAAATTTTTTAAAAATTCTTTAAAATATTTCAATTATTTTTAATACAATTTTAATTGAATTCCTCAAAAGTATTTCAATATTACATTCACAAAATTTTTATAAAATTCTTAAAAGCAATTAAGTTATTTTCAAAAATTTTAATAAAATCCATACAACAATTAAATTATTTCATAATTAAAATTATAAAAAGCTACAAAAAAATACAAAAAGTAATGTAAAAAATAATATAAAAACCTATTAAAAATCTTTGCTTTTTAAAATAGAAAAAGATTTCACATTTACAAAATAGTGAAAAATAACTTAATTTCTAAATTAAAATTAAATAGTTAGTTAAATCAGTTAGTTTTTCTATAATAATTTATAAGTAAAAACTTTTATATTTTAGAATGTTTAAATTATATTAATAATATTATTAACATAGTCTAAATTTCGGAAAATTTTAAATCGAAGTTTTAAAAAAGTTGAATTTAAAAAAATTTTAATTGAAAATTCTGAATAAGTTTATTTTTGAAATATTTTTATTCAAATTGTTAAAAATTTTTTTGTATTTTTAAATTATATGTTCAATTAAAAATATTTAAAATTTCATTAAATTGAATTAAAAACAAGTGGATTTCAAAAATATTTTAGATAAACTTCTTTTTTTAAATAAATAATTAAATTTTTAAGAAACTTTCTCGAAAATTATAAAAAATAATAATTGAACCAAAGAAGAATTTTAGTTGAGAATTCTATAGAAAATAATAGAATTGAAACCATGAAAATAATTTTTCATAATTTACAGTAAAAATTGATGATAAATTTTATTGAATTTTAAAGGATTGGAAATTTGTAAAAATCTTAATTCTTATACGAAAAAAATGAAAGTAATGATTATATAAATAAAATATCATAATTTTTGTTTGGTAGTGTACCACTTTTCTTTCAATAAAATTTTATAGAAAAATTAAAAGATGACTAATATAAGTATAAATAAATAAATTTAGAAAAAAAATAATAACTTACTTTCACATTCACATAAAGGTTCATCAGCTAAAAAAAATTTGCACATATGATCAGCAGCTTCATCGTATCGATCTTTTGGAATCGGTTGTATTGTAAATTTTACAGTATTGCCTTTTTTAGTAATTTCCACATTTTTAATAAAATTAGAAAAATTATTGATCGATTCCATAATTAATATTAAAAAAAATAAAATTGCTTCTTTAAATAAATAAATAAATAAATAAATATGTATATAAAATGATAAAATTTTAAAATTTAAGACGTTTAAACTGGACGACACATAAACGGACAATGATAAATTATAGAAGTTAACAATACTATTATATACTAAATCTTCATTACAATAATTTTAGAATGTATACTCTGAGTCTTATATTATATTATACCTTTTAAAATATTATTAAACCGATAAACTGTACATTTTCGATAAAAGACGGCATATCAATTTTGAAATTAACAGCCCTATTGGTACATAAATATTGGTTCCTTGAATGAGAACAAGGGAATAATAGCATTAACTGTCCATTTACTTGAATAGAGACAATCGGAGGTAATTCTCTTCTATCTTACTCATTATGAAAGTTATGTAATTTAATATTCATTTAATTATATTATTATTACATAATTATTAATTATATCATATAATTATTACTATTTTCTTTTTTTTCTTTTTATATTAAGTATTTAATATTACGACAGTAAAGAAAGATACCTGAGAAGTAAATCATTTTAAGGTTATGTTTGTATTATTTCGAACTTAATTAAAAGTTTCAAGGTAATTTCCGGGTAATTATTAATTATAAATTTATAATTATTTTATTTTTTTTTATTTTTATATTAAGTATTATTAATATTATGACGAAGAAAGATACCTGAGAAGTAAAAATCTTTTTAAGGTTCTGTTTGTATTATTTTTAACTTAAATTAAACAGGGTCGCCACAGGTCAGGGAATTCAGGGAAGAGTCAGGGAAAGTAAAATTGGTCAGGGAAAAGTCAGGGATTTTTAGTAAAAGTACTGGAAAAAATTGAATTTTCAAAATTCATGAAAAAACTCTGAATTTTGATGTTTTTTTTGTTTGCCTCGTAAACTATAAAAATACCACGAATTTTAATACAAAACCTTGAATTTTTTCTATTTCAAACAATAATTTCTTTTTAAATAACTTAATTTTACAAGAACTATCATAAAATTATGACGTAAATTATTAAGTGAATCATTTTTACAATTTTCGTAAATACTAGATTAATAAAAGAATTTTAGTTAAAAATACTAAAAAAAATTGAATTTTGAAAAAGTTACAAATAATTCCAGAAATTCAATTATTTTCAAAAGTAATAAAATTTTTCGCAAAAATTCAATTATATTCAAAAATTTAAATTATACTTCTCAAGATAATTGAATTATTAAAAATAATTGAATTGAATTCCTATGAACATTTTATTATTAATAAAAATAATTGAAATTTTGAGAAGAATTTGATTCAAATTTTTTAAAATAATTGAATTTTAGAGAAGAGTTTTATTAGTTTTGAAAATAATTGAATTCGTAAGAATATTTTATTATTTATGAAAATAATTGAAATTTTGCGAAGAATTTTATTAAAATTTTTAAAAATAATTAAATTTTGCAAAAGTTTTTCATTAGTTTTGAAAATAATGGAAATTTTGAGAAGAATTTTATTAAAATTTTTAAAAATAATTGAATTTTGGAGAAATTTTTTGTTTTATTAGTTTTGAAAATAATTGAATTCATATAAAAATATTTTATTATTAATGAAAATTGAAATTTTTAGAAGAATTTAACAGAATTGAAATTTAAATTTTTCAAAAAAATTAGTTCTACAGAACTAATTTCATAAAGGTTTGAATTTGAATGTATTGAAGAATTTTAATTCCTACGAAAAAATAATAATGATTAAATATTTATTTAAAAAAGAAATTATTGATGTTTTTGAATAATTTTACAATTAATGAAATTTGTAAAGAAATGGAATAGAACATTTTTTTGAGTTTCTAATAATTTTTAGAGTGAATCAGAATATTTTTTTAGGGTTAGGGAAAAAGTGAGAATTTTGTCTGGAAATCAGGGAAAAGTCAGGGAAAAATAAAATTAAATATTTGTGGCAACCCTGTTAAAGTTTCAAGGTAATTACCAGGCCAGAGACTAAAATCAGCTCTACAAATTAATTAATGAAGAATTTTTATTTTCACTCTAAAAATTATAAACATAACCTAAAATTGCAACTTTTAGTTTTGACAGTAAAAATAAACATTACACATTAACAGAAAAAAAAATTTACCTAATTTTCTTTCCCATACATTTAAATATATCTGAATCACAAGAGGGAAGTAATAATTGTCCCTTTTCATCGACAATTTCCTTACGAGTTTTATACGAAAGAGTTTCAAATCCAGCGCGAGCGGCTAATTTTATTGATATTGGCGATGTGAATATTGTTATGGTCGCAAAAATATTATTCCTCTCACAAACTTCATTTCTGAAAAAATTTTGTCACATATTTAATCTACATTTAGGAACAAAAAATTATTAGTCTTTTCTATAAAAAAATTTTAAAAAAAAAATAATTTTTTCTTTTTTTTTTTTTTATTTTATATCAAATTTAAAAGCCACATACCGAGCCATAAGAAGATGGTATCCAATTGCATGACCACGATAATCACGATCAACACTGAGTCCAAAACCTCCTAAATATTTGTCACAACCGAAAGATTTTTCCACATCCACATCTGCGCCCAAAGAGCCCATAATTTTCATTATTTTCTCAATTTTCTCAGTTTTCAACTAAAAAATATGGTTTAAATTTTATAAAAATATTTCAAATAAAAAATTTAGTATTCAATTATTCAATGGTTGAAAAATAAACTTTACATTAGTAAATTTACTAAAATCAACTCTTTGATTCTTTCCGCCGAGATAGAGAATATTTAGTCCTGCCATTATAGATTTTCCACCTTCGGGATTTTCAAAAAATGCCGCAACACTTAAATTATCATCTAATACGAATTTAAATATGGATCTCATATCCTCTATAGCTTCTGGATCATCCTTGACATCTAGAGGTGAATAAATTGTATTGAAAAAAATTATTTTTTTAAAATAGAAGGACAATTTTTTTTTTTTGTTTTTGAAAATAAATTTCTTTTTAAATAACTTAATTCATGAAAAAACTATCCATAAAATTATCACTTAGAAATTATTTAATAAATATAATTTTACTTAAATATTTCAAAATTGATGGGATTTTCAAAAAATTTGGTTTACAATTTTTACAAAAAATTCTTCTGAAATTAGTTAAATTTTTTAAAATATAAAAAAATGAAAAAAAAAGAAAATAAATAAGACAATGAACTGTTCGTTGAGTTATTTAATATTTTATTTTTATTATTTAATTTTATATTTTTCAAATAAATTTAACTATATTTATTAAAATAATGGATTTATATAGAAGAATTTTAGTTAAAAAAACTAAAATCATTCTAGTTTGGAGATGCGTTAAAAATTATTGCAGAAATTCAATTATTTTTAAAAGTATATAATCAAATGCAAATTGATAGTAATAATAAAAATAATAATATTAAAAATTTAAAAAAAAAATATAAAAATATTAAAAATAAAAAATAATAATAACTTACTTTCACATTTACATAAAGGTTCATCAGCTATGAAAAATTTACACATATGATCAACAGCTTCATCATATCTGTCTTTTGGAATCGGTTGAATAGTGAATTTCAAAGTTTCACCATTTTTAATAATCTCCACATTTTTAACAAAATTAGAAAAATTATTGTTTGAATTCATGATTAACAAAAAAATATATAGATACTCATTAATGGTAAATTAACTTTAAATATGAACATATCAAAATAAATAGATAAAATGATAAAATATTAAATTATAATACATTCAGACTTGGCGAAAAGTGAATGAACAATGAAAACTACTGTAGAAGTAACAATAGAATAACTAATACCTACCATGTATCAATTTTGAAAATGAAAGTCTAGTTTGTAAATAAAATTTTGTTCCTTTAATATAAATTCAAAGTAACTATTTTCTATATATTTTCAAAAAATACATTGACAACTTTTTATCCTTTTATTTATTTATTTTTTTTACAATTAAAAAATACGTATATTTACTTTACTTGAATTACATAAATAATTTTTATTTTTAATTATTATTTTTAATCAAATTTTTAAAATAATAAAAGTTTCAAATTATACAATATTGTAAAGTTTTAAAATAGTTAATTCTCATATATTAGTTAATTTGCAAATTATAAATTCTATAAATTAAAAATTGTTATAAATATCGATCCGATAAATTGTTTTTTGACAAAATTCGTAATAATTTAAATTTAATTGTTTATTTTTAATTTTTTCAGTTTTTAAGTTATCATTAATTTTATAATTCAATCAACCCAGTAAGAAGAGGTGGATTGGAAGAAATTAAAATGTTTACAAATATAGCTATCAATTTTGAATAATTTCAATGACAAATCAATATTATTTTTTCATACGGATTTTATTTCCAATAAAGGCGATTAGAATTGAACTCAATTTAATTTCGTTCACTACCATAAAATTTGTTAATCAATAATTTTCAATATTTACTATTTTCATAAAATTTATCAAAAGATTTATTGATTAAAAAAAAAAAAAATTTTTTTACACAATTTTACGAAAATATTTAATTATTTTCATAAATAATAAAATTTCATTTGGGAATTCGAATTATTTTGATCGCAGAATTTCAAATACTTTTTATATACAATTTTAAGTAAATTCCTCGAAAAATGAAATTATAAAAATTTAAAAAATTTTAAAACTTGACAAAAGAATTCAAGAAACATTTGATTAATAAATAAAATAATAAAATTCGTTGCAATAATTCAATTATTTTAAAAAAATAACTTTTAATTATAGTCTCAGGAAATTAATTATTATTCATAATTTTTAAATAATTCTACAAAACAATTAAATTATATTGTTAAACAACAAAATTAATAAAATGCCACAGACATTTTCAATATCTATTATTTTTATAAAATTTCCCAACAGAATTCAATTATTTTTATGAATAATAACAATTTCTGAGAAATTCAATTTTTTAAATTAGAATTTGCATAAAATTAGTCGAAAGAAATGAATTACTTTAAAATTTTTAAAAAATTCTTCGCAATAATATTAAAAATTTTATAATATTTTTATAAATATTTAAATACTTTGATGAATAATAAAATTCGTTGCAGAAATTGAATTTATTATCAGGATAAGAAAGAAGTAAATATTTTTGATGAAAATTAGGAAAAAGTCAGGAAAATAAAAAATATGGAATGGAATTTTTGTCAATTATTTTAAATACAATTAATTATTTTAAATGTAATAAAGAATTAAATATTTTTTAGGTTAGGTTAGGTTAACTAAGATTTTTTGGAATGCGTCATATTTTTACATTAGTAGACATTATTATTATTTTTAAAATTTTTTTTTAGTAAATGCACAATATTTAATGGATATGTATTTATTTTTATTATTGTCTTCTATAATTATCTATTTACATCGTCATTGCTTACTTATAATACTCAAACTTTGGCACTTGCTCTCCTCTCTCCTCATGTTTTATATAAACTTAAAATTCTACGCAGTCTGAAAAAGTTTCTCTTATCGTTACAGAATATTATTTTTTTAATTTTTAATCTTCTAAAAATGAAAAAAAATTAACAATTTCATTTTTAAAAAGAAGAAAAATTTTCTATTTATTTTTATAAACTAAAATAAATTTTCTTACATTTTTGGATAATTTTGTTGGAATTTTTACAAAATTTTTATTTTTAATTTTAGAGAGAATAATACTAGAAAAAATACAATTTCTTTAAATTTATTTAATTAAATTTTTTTTCATATTATTAAGTAATAAATATGTGAGAACTTCGCCAAGATTCTTAGAAATTAAAAATTTTCAAAAAAAAAAGGAGAAACTTTCTCTTGCACTTTTTCGAAGAGTTTCGGATGGAATACACAGGGCTCGAACTAAAATTACTGGTCATGGAAATCTCACTTTCAATATTGAATCAATTTCATTAGAAATCTTAAAGAACTTAGATTTTTGAAAAATTTTAATATTTCACATTCTTCTAAAATTAGTTCAATTTTTAAATATATATATATATATATTTAATTAATTATTAAAAATAATGGATTTATAGAAGGAATTTAGTTAAAAACACGAAAAAAATTGAAATTTTTTAGTAATGAATGCAGAAATTCAATTATTTCCAAAAGTAATCAAATTCTTCTCAGAAATTCAATTATTAAAAATTTTTTAAAATTCTCGTCAAAATTTCAATTATCTTTATAAATAATAAAATTTTTGGCAAAAGAAATGATTAAAATTCGTCAATAGAATTCAATTATTTAAAAATTACTTGATAAAAATTCTTTGTGAGAATTCAATATTAAGAAACATTCAATTATTCAATAAAATAATTCATTTTTCTTTTTAAATAATTGAATTTACATAGAATTTTTTAATAAAAATTGATTGAAAAATGAATTTTACTTGAAATTTTATGTAATAATTGATTATTAAAAGAATATTTAAAAAATGAATTTTTAGAAATAATTGAATTTTGAAAAGCTGTCAAATTCGAATTATTTTTTGAGAGAAATCTGAATTTTTCATAATTTCAATTAATATATTCTGTAGAATTAATTTTTTTTTTAAATTTGAATTTCAATTCTGTTAAATTTTTAATATATATACCTATTAATCTTATTTTAAAAATTTTATAGACATTTTTTGAATCTTGATAAGAATCAAAACTATTTTCCAAAATTCAATTATTTTTTAAAATTTGAATAAAATTCTTCTCAAAATTTCAATTTTTATTAATAATAAAATATTTATATGAATTCAATTATTTTTAATAATTCAATTATCTTGAGAAGTATAAAAACCCTTCTTCAAAATTCAATTATTTTAAAAAATTTTAATAAAATTCCTCTCAAAATTTCAATTATTTTCATAAATAATAAAATATTCTTAGGAATTCAATTATTTTCAAAACTAATAAAACTCTTCTCCAAAATTCAATTATTTTTAAAGATTTGAAAAAATTTCTTCTCAAAATTTTAATTATTTTTATTAATAATAAAATGTTCATAGGAATTCAATTATTTTTAATAATTTAATAATTTTTAGAAACGTATCAAAACTCTTCTCTAAAATTCAATTATTTTAAAAAATTTTAATAAAATTCTTCTCAAAATTTCAATTATTTTCAAAACAAATGAAAAATATCTGCAAAATTCAATTATTTTTAAAAATTTATAATAAAATTCTTCGCAAAATTTCAATTATTTTCATAAATAATAAAATATTCTTAGGAATTCAATTATTTTCATAAATAATAAAATATTTTTAGGAATTCAATTATTTTCATAAATAATAAAATATTCTTAGGAATTCAATTATTTTCAAAACTAATAACTAATAAAACTCTTTTCCAAAATTCAATTATTATCAAAAATTTTAAATATAAATTCTTCGAAAAATTTTAATTATTTTCATAAATAATAAAATATTATTAGGAATTCAATTATTTTCAAAACTAATAAAACTCTTTTCCAAAATTCAATTATTTTTTAAAATTTTAATAAAATTTTTCGCAAAATTTCAATTATTTTTATAAATTTCTGTGAAGAATTAAGAATTTTTTTAAATAATTGATATTTTTCGAAAAATTCTATGAAATTTTGTATATTAAATAATTGAATTCATGTGAAAATTTTATTATTTATGAAAATAATTGAATTGTTTCAAAGAAATTTATTAAAAATTTTATAAATTATTGAATTCCAGTGAAATTTCAACAAGAATTTTATTTAAGTTTTTAAAAATAATTGAATTTTGAAGAAGAATTTTATTAATTCTAACAATAATTGAAATTTTGACGAGAATTTAAAAAAAAAATTTTTAAATAATTGAATATTAAAGAATTTTATTATTTATAAAGATAATTGAAATTTTGACAAGAATTTTTTAAAAATTTTTGAACATAATTGAATTTCTGCGAAAAATTTTATTCCTTTTGAAAATAATTTAATTCTTCCAACGAATTTTATTCAAGTTTATAAAAATAATTGAATTTCGGTGAAGAATTTTACTATTTCTAAGAATAATTGAATTCTTGAAAAGAACTTTGTTAAATTTTTTTTAAATAATTGAATTCCAGCGACGAATTTTATAAAATACTTTTTAAATAATTGATATTTTTCGAAAAAATTTTTGAAATTTTTTAAATTAAATAATTGAATTCCTGTGAAAATTTTATTATTTATGAAAATAATTGATTTATTTCGAAGAAATTAATTGAAAATCTTGTAAATTATTGAATTCCTGTGAAATTTTGCTGAGAATTTTATTCAAGTTTTCAAAAATAATTGAATTTCAAAATAAAATATATTTTCAAATATTAATGAAGTATTAATTTTGAAATATTGATTTCTGTCTTATCGATGATAAGCGAAATAAATATATATCCGCTAAATTGACACCTTACCATCTTATAATAATTATTATCACGGAAAAAACCCATTTACCATCTTATGATAATTGAATTTCGTTGAAATTGTATTATTTATAAAGATAATTGAAATTTTGACGAGAATTTTTAAAAAAAATTTTCAACATAATTGAATTTTGGAGAAGAATTTTATTATTTTTAAAGATATAATTGAAAGTTTGACAAGAATTTTTTTAAATGTTTGAATATAATTGAATTTCTGCGAAAAATTTTATTACTTTTGAAAATAATTGAATTTCTGGAATTATTTGTAACTTTTTCAAAATTCAATTTTTTTCAGTATTTTTAACTAAAATTCTTTTATCAATCTAGTATTTACGAAAATTGTAAAAATGATTCATTAAATAATTTAAGTCATAATTTTATGATAGTTCTTGTAAAATTAAGTTATTTAAAAAGAAATTATTGTCTGAAATAGAAAAAATTCAAGGTTTTGTATTAAAATTCGTGGTAATTTCATAGTTTACGAGGCAAACAAAAAAAACATCAAAATTCAGAGTTTTTTCATGAATTTTTAAAATTCATTTTTTTTCAGTACTTTTACTAAAAATCCCTGACTTTTCCCTGACCAATTTTATTTTCCCTGACTTTTCCCTGAATTCCCTGACTTTCCTGACCTGTGGCGACCATGTTTATATTTTTATCGGGTAATTGGGGTCCGAAATTTAAAAATTTTTGTTCCATAATTTGCGTATTTTGAAATAAAATACTTTCCCTAGTTCGAGCCCCGAATAGGAATTAATGCTTGTTTACATGAACAATTAAAAAAAATCGTATAAAATTCGATTACACAATAAATACTTATTTGATAACAACAATTATAACAGGTGTTTGTCTCGTGTTTGTTCTAAAATTAAACGTCGCATTCTGCTTCTCAGTCTCGAAACTCATTTTGGAAATTAACGAGTTGTCAGGTAAATATCTCCGAAGCATTTTTAGCGTCGTCATTGTTTGTTTCATTTTTTTTTTCGTTTTTTTTAAATATTTTATATTTTCTTCAGTAATATTTTATCTAAGGCACCTTTGGTTCTTTCATTCGTTCACTTCCCAGAGTTTCGAGTAATTGTCCATAACTTCGAGGAACCATTCTTTGAGTTTGATGTCCTTGAAGAGGGGCAGAAGGGCGCGAAGTTGCAGTTGAAGGAGCGCTTCATTGCCGAGGAGAATATTGAGCTGACGAAGAAGATCAATGTCCCCGTGGAGTTTCAAAAGACTCGAATAAGTGAAAATAAAATATTGAACCTCGAGTTGTTTTTTCGCCCAATCTTCGACTGTATGATTTCCACTTGCCGATTGAATTCGACCCATGTGCTCGGCGTACCATGGCGAGAAATAGTTACTTAACTCGAGATTCGAAAGATCGGCAACGCCTCGTGTTTTTAATCGCTCTTTTATTTGCAGATACACCTCTGGCCTGTAGACGAAAACCTGCAAAAGTTTTAATTTAAAATATAAGAAAATTTCCATTTAGAATGAATTTCCTAATTAGGGGCCATCAATAAAGTACGTTACACTGATATTTGAGCTTTTTTCAAGTATTTAATTATTTTCATAAATAATAATAAATATCTCATTGCAGAATTTCCATTATTTTTAAGGGGTTACATCTACTTAGGATTTTGATAATATATTGAATTCCTGCAACGAATTTTATTATTTATGAAAGAATTTAAATATTTATAAAAATAATTTCATTCTTGGGAAGAATTTTATTAAAATTGTTTTAAATAATTCATTTATTTCGACTTATTTTTATATGCAAATTCGGGCTTCCGCTTCCGGTACCGTTTCGGTGTACACGCGTTTGGAAAGAGTTAAGATTTTTTTTTTTTTTTTTTTTTTTTTTTTTTTTTTTTTTTTTTTTTGAGAAATTTAAAGGTTTTAAAAAAGGGTGGATAGTGTAGAGTGTTGAGTGGGTTAGATTAAAGATTCAACTGTTGTGAACCCTGGTGTTAAAGTTAGGAACTTGAATAAATTTCTTTCGCTGGTAATGCAAGGCAGATTTCTTCTTAATCGATCTTTTTACTCTAATGGTAAATAACAGAAATCTGTAGTTTAACCCAGTTAAATCAAGTATTTTTATTCAACATTTTTTATTTTAGGACTTTTATTCAAAATTTCAAATTTTTTTGATTAAAATTACAAAAAAAAAATAGTTTTAATAAAAAAAAAATTGTGAATATTTAATTCATTATAGAAATTATTAAGTAGGAATCTGCAATTTTAGACAGAAAGTATTATCAGTCGTTGATAATAATTTCATTTTGCTAAATAATGTTTACCATTAATCTTTAATTAATTAATTGTAATATAAACAATATTTAACTGCCTATACTCAATTTAAAAAAAAAATCAATTATTTTCAACATCTAACTATTCTAATGAAATTTTCGAAAAGAATTGAATAATTTAAAAGAGTTTTATAAAATTTTTCGATAAAAAGGAATTATTTTTATAAAATTCTTGACAAAAATTCAATTATTTTTACAAGTGAAATTTTTCACGGAAATTCAATTATTTAAAAAAATTTTAATAAAACACTTCTTCAATTATTTTCAGAAATAATAAAATTCTTCTCAGTAATTCAAATATTTTCCGAAAATTTTAATAAAAATTCTTTGCAAGAATTCTATTATTTTCAAAAATAATAAAAATTTTCTTTTTGAATAAAAATCTTCTCAGAAAAACAATTATTTTCATAGAAAATTTAATTATTCAATTATTTTTAATACAATTTTCAAATATTTTTAAAAATTTTATTAAAATTGTTGGAAAAAATTCAATTATTTTCTGACAAATAATAAAATTCTTCTCAGCAAAATCAATTATTTTCATAGAAAATTCAATTTTTCAATTATTTTTAATATATAATTTTTATTAAATGAATTCTTCTAAAAATATAAAATTAATTTTTAAAAATTTTACTAAAATTGTTGGATACAATTCAATTATTTTCACAAATAATAAAATTCTTCTCAGAAAGTCAATTATTTTCATATAAAATTCAATTTTTCAATTATTTTTAATATACAATTTTCAAATAAATTCTTCGAAAAATGTAATTATTTTCAAAAATTTCATTAAAATTGTTGAAAATAATTCAATTATTTTCTCAAGAAAAATAAGTTTCATGGCATTATTTCAATGATTTTGAATATAATAATTTTTAAATAAATTCCTCGAAAAATGACATTATTTTTAAAAAGTTTTATAAAATTGTTGGAAAAAAATTCAATTATTTTGAAAAAAAAAAATTCTTATCTTAGGAATTCAATTATTTTTAAATTAATATAAATTCGCTATAAAAATTTAATTATTTTCACAAAAAAATAAGATTCATCGCATATGATTTCAATTATTTTTAATACAATTTTTAAATAAATTCCTCGAAAAATGTAATTATTTTTTTTTAATTTTATTAAAATTGTTCGAAAAAATTCAATTATTTTCAAAAATAATATATAAGTTTACACGAAAATTGAATTATTTTTGTGAATAATAAAACTCATTGTAAATTTCAATTATTTTCAATAAAATTTTTGTTAAATGAATTTTTTGAAAAATATAATTACTTTTTAAAGTTTTATTATAGGATTCGTAAAAACAATTCAATTATTTAAAAATTTGTTGAAAAAATTTTGCATAAGAATTAAATTTTAAGAAACACTCAATTATTAAATAAATTATTTATTTCGGTATTTAAATAATTGAATTGTCATAGAACTTTCTAAAAAACTTGATTTAAAAATGTATTTTATTTAAATTTTTATATAATAATTCAATATTAGAAGCAAAAAGGATTTTTAGAAATAGTTTAGCATCAAAAGTTTTTTAAATTAAAATTTTTAAAAACTTGAAAAGTTTTTTTTTTTTTTTTTTTTTTTAAATTTGCGAAATAACATAGCCTACTGTCTAATAATATTATTTATTAATATACATTATTAAATATAATATTTAAATGTTTATTTTTTTAAAATTATTAATTTATTTTCTTAAAAAATATTTAAAGTTTTCAATAATTTTCTTTAAATAGTTCAGCAAAAAATCTGGAGGAATAAATAGCTATTTAAATATTTGTTTCACAAAATTTTTTTTATCTTTTAATTGTAATTTATTTCAGAAATTATATAAAAATAATTTTTTTTTTTTTTTTTTTTTTTTTTTTTTTTTTAATTGCAAAATTATTCAGCCTACAATTGAAAAACCATTAAAAGGCGCATCATTACATTATTGTAATTTAGAAAAAAGAATCGTATAGAATATATAAATTATAAAATTGATTCATTTGAAAAATTTGTAATTAAAATTTTTTGTTGGTAGTTAAATTCTCGTAAATAATTGAAAACTAGATTAGAGATTATAGTTTCCAATTATTTGCAAATTTTGTCAAATTTTAATTAAAATAAATTTTTTATATATTTTAAGGGCATTTGAACCATGATGACGTCACAGATTTAAAACTAATGCTTTGCACAAACTGTGACGTCATCAAGGTTCAAATGCCCTTAAAGAATTTAATTTTGTTACTTATTTATAAAATATTTTTTTAAACATAACTATTGTATTTTTGAAGAATTTTGAATTAAAATTAAGAAAAAATAATTGAATTTTTTCAAAAATTTAGAATTGAATGTTATTAATATCGAGATTATAAATGTAAATTCAATTTTTAAAAATTCATAATGGCGGATGCAATATGGCGGACGGAAAAAATTAAAAATTAGTAGATTCGCTTGAAAAATTTGTTTTTTTTTGGGGTTTTTGAGGTCACTGATTTCGAATTAGAAGACAGATTTTTAAAATTTAGAATGTTAGATTGAATCTAGAATGTACAAAAAAAATTAATTTAATTTAAATTTAATTTTAGTTTAATTTAAATTTAATTTTAATCTAATTTAATTTTAATTTATTTTTAATTTAATTGAATTTTAATTTAATTTTATAAAATTAATAATTTTTGAAGAAAACTAATAATTTTAAAAAGTCATCAAAAAAAATTTTTAAAAATACAAAATTTTAAATATACAGCTGAAGATAATAAATAACAGAAACAAATTACTAAAGGCATAAAATAGTAATTAGTGTAAATGTGAATAATATATAATACAAATTGTATATAATATAATGGAGGTAAATAATAAACTTTACAAATTGCTGTTTTTTTATCTCATTTTAAAGAGCACGTGATAAATTTTGCATTCTCATTATTATTTATAATAATAGTATTTATTAGTAATGATACTGGTAATAATATTGTTAACCAATTTCTACGAATTGTTTTATGAAAGAATATACTTATATATATAATGAAGACCTAATAAATCAATGTCAATTTTCTCATAATGGGAAAATAAATTATTTTCTCGGAACAATATTCGACTTTTACAGTCTTCTGACTCATTTCTAGCATTATTTTTTTTCGTCTGATAAAGGCCTATCTCAACATAGATTTCCGTCCTTGGATAAAGTGCAAGTTTGTCAGAGATTATATGTATATATAATCAAAAGGAAACTATTGTACTTTCATTATCAATATTATTATTATTTTTATTTATTTAATATTATTATATTTTATAATATAATATAATATAATATAATATAATTATAAATACATACTTGAAGTTAGTGACCGTTTATTAATTATGTATTATTGAGTAAAAAGCTTCTCAATTGTGTTAAAAAAAAAAAAAAAAAAAAAAAAAAAAAAAAAAAAAAAAATTAAATTTTTTATTTAAAAAAAATTTTTTATTAACAAAAGAGTCGACCTTTCGAGTCGATACCGACCCATTTTTAGGACTAAAAACAGAAAAGAATTTCTTAGAAAATTAAAAAAAAAATTAATATAATTTTTAAAAGTTAAATTAAATTAAATTTTTTAAAATAAAAGTCACTTAAAATTTATTATATACTTAAATTTATATAAAATAGAAAAATGAAATGAAAAAGAATAAGAAAAATTGAAAAATAATAGAAATTTTATTCGACAATTTTTAATTTACAAAAATTTATTTAGCCAAAATTTAATTTTCTTTAACCGAAATTTTAAATGTATACATTATGTATTCATTAAAAATTCAGGTTAAAGAAAATTAAATTTTGGATAAACAAATTTTGGTTAGGTAATTAGAAAATATGCAAATTAATATTAATCGATACTTGAACTTATCATAATAATATTGACAGCAATTAAAGATATCAAGATTATCACACAAATAATGCAATAAGGAAATTTCAAAAGTGATAAAAATATATGTTGTATCTTTAACTACATCGTGTAATTATCGTGAGAAAAAAAAAGATTTTTCTTATCTCTTTTTTAATAAAGAGATTTAAATCACTTTTGCCTTGAACTTTAAGTTTATAGTCACGATTGTCTCTCAAATTACCTTCTTTTCATAATATATAAATTTCTTTCATTCAATACCATTTTTTTTGTTTTTGTTTCACTCGATAATAATTTATCATAATTAAGAGGAGAATTAATGATTTGTTTCAAGGAAGAAGTAAAAAGAAAATGTTAACAAAAAATCGTTAAGTTAATTATTTGAAGTTAAATTTTATATAAGATATGGATTTTAAGTTAAGGTAAAGATTTCAAGTTATCTTAAGTGAAACATTTGAACTTAATTTAAGAAATTTAAGTCTAATTAAGGATTTTAAGTTAAATTTTATGTTAATTTAAAGATTATGAGTTAAATTTTACATTAAATTAAAGATTTTAAGTTAAATTTTAAATCTAATTGAGAATTTTAAGTTAAATTAAGGATAAATTGACTTAAAATCCTTAACTTATTTTAAACTTAAAATTTAACTTACAATTCTCAACTTTAAATTAAATTTTATGTTAAGTTTACTTTAAGTTCAGGATTTTAAATTAACTTCTATGTAAAGTTAAAGATTTTAAGTTAAATTTTAAGTAAAGGTAATGATTTCAAGTTAAATTTTATGTAAAGAAAAAAATTTAAAATTATTTTAAGTCAAATTTTGAATTTAATTAAGGATTTTAAGTTAAATTTAAAGTTTAATTAAGGATTTTAAGTTAATTTTAAGTTAAGGTAATGATTTCAAGTTAAATTTTATATTAAGCTAAAGATTTTGATTTATATTTTAATGTTAATTAAGAAATTTAAGTTAAGTTTTTTGTTAATTTAAGGATTTTAAATTAAATTTTAAGTTAAATTAATGATTTTAGGTAAAATTTGATGTTATTTTAAAGATTTTAAGTTAAATTTTATATTGAGTTAAAGATTTTAGGTTCAATTTTATATTTAATTAAAAATTTTAAGTCAATTTTATGTTAAATTAAAGATTTGAAGTTAAATTTAAGAATCTTAATTTAAGTTAAGGATTTCAAGTTAAATTAAAAATTTTAAGTTTAGGATAAATTAACTTAAAATCCTTATTTTTAATTAACATAAAATTTAACTTGTAAATTTTATTTTATTTTAAGTTTAATTAAAGTTAAGGATTTTAAGATAAATTCTATTTTAAGTTAAAGTAATGATTTCAAATTTAATTTTATGTTAAATAAAAGAATTTAAGTTTAATTTAATATTTAGAAAAATTTTATGTTAATTAAAAGACTGTACATTTAATTTTAAGTTAAATTAAGGATTTTAGGTTAGATTTTACGTTAATTTAAAGATTTTGGGTTAAATTTTATATTGAGTTAATGATTTTAAGTTAAATTTAAAATTTAATTAAGAATTTTAAGTTAAATTTATGTTAAATTAAAGATTTTAAGTTAAATTTTAAGTTAAGTTAAGGATTTTAAGTTTAATTAAGAATTTTATGTTAAATTGAGAATTTAAAGTTAAGTTCAGGATTTAAAGTTAGTTTAAGAATATTAATTTGAGTTAAGGATTTTAAGTTATATTTTATATCTAATCAAAAATTTCAAGACATATTAAAGATTTTTGGTTAAATTTAATGTTAAATTAAGTGTTTCAATTTAATTTGAAGTTCAGGTTATGATTGCAAGTTAAATTTTATATTGAGTTAAAGATTTTAAGTTAAATTAATGATTTTAGGTAAAATTTGATGTTATTTTAAAGATTTTGAGTTAAATTTTATATTGAGTTAAAGATTTTAAGTCAAATTTTTAATTTAATTAAGAATTTTAAAACATATTAAGGATTTTTAGATAAAATAAGAATTTTAATTTAAGGATAAATAAGTTAAAATCGTTATTTTAACTTAACAAAAAATTTAACTGAAAATTCTCTACTTTAATTTAAATTTTATTTTAAGTTTAATTAAAGTTCATGATTTTATGATAAATTCTATTTTAAGTTAAAGATTTTAAGTTAAGGATTGTAAGTTAATTTTATGTTAAGTTTATTATTTCAAGTTAAATTTTATGTTAAGTTAAAGATTTAAAGTCAAATTTTATGTGAATTAAAAGATTTTAAGTTTAAATTTATATTAAGTTAAAGATTTTACGTTAATTTGAAAATTTTATGTTAATATAAAATAATGGTTTTATCACTCGGTCGTCTTTAATTATTATAAAATAGAAAGATACTGATCATTTTAATTAAAGTTCAAGTTTTTAAATTAAGGATTTCTTCCACATGATGCTTTAATTAATGAAAGAAGAATCAAAAGATAAAGATATGAGGAAGAAAAAGTAAGTAATAATTATCATTGGGAAAAATTTCGAAAAATGAAAAATTGAATCCTATTCGACATTACAAGGCGATAGTTAACATTTCGGAAAGGGGAATAACAATTATTATATAACTTTCGCCTCTCGTTGTCTGCTCAATGAGAGACGATGATGTAAACTGTCAATGTAATACCAGATACTCGGATGATAGTAATGCACACCTTTGCTTTGTACATATATATACATAGTCCATATAGATTCATCCATCAATTTATTCATTCCTTATATTTCTTTTCATTCTTTTTTTTCTCCATAATTTTATTTACACTCTTACACTCAGTTTGTGATTAAGAATGAAAATTTAAAGGTTTCAATGAGCTTAAAAGAAAGGTTAATACTTTTTCTTATAATATATATATATATATATAATGCAAATCTTGCAAAATCTCATCAGATAAATAATTTTTTTTTTGTTTGCGACACACACGTTTATATATCTTTGTATTTTTCAAATTACAAAAGAATCCCGAACAAATTGTCTCTCTCTCGCTCTAGAGGATAATTTTCGAAAATAACAAAATAATAATACGTTCATGTTGAAGTGAAAGTCCTAAAATCAAATCTCGGTAATAAGGATTTTGACATTATTGTAAGTTGATTTTAAGAAATAGTTAATAACGGTCATTCTTTTTTATGGAAAGAAATGTTGTCACGATATGCAAAAAAGCTTCGGAGAAAAAATTATAACGAAAAAAAGTATTTTTAGTATGCTCGGCCAATTGATAATTCTCAAAAATTATAATCAAATTCTTTAAAACAATTCAATTATTTTATATTCGAAATTCAATTATTAATTATTTAATGAGTTATTCGGTTTTAAACTTAATTATAATTCAAACGAATAATAAAACGAGGTAAATTTTAAAAAAATAAAGAAAAAATTAATTTAAAATTTTTTAATTAAAATTTTTTTTTTAAATATATTTAAAGAAATTACCTGATAGAGGGAATTCCCCGTGACGAATGATTTTATATAGTGAGATCCAAAATTTCTAACAAAATAGAGAACACTATCTTTATCACCAATTGAAATAGTGTTTGCTTCATTTTCAACATCTTCATTTAAAACTAATGTTTCCATATTTCCCATTAATTCCTGATTTTCTCTAAAGCGCGACACACGCACTAAGACAAAACAATGATCACTGTATATGTACGAGGAATTAATGCCAAGATGTTTGGCCATTACATTTGGCGTCCAACTACTCGTAAATGCCCTCCATGGTCTCTCGATGTTTTCAATTGTAAAATCTCGAAAGTAGGCCTGTAAAAAATTTATATTAAAAATAATTGATTTAAAGAAGAATTTTAGTTAAATAATTCTAGAAATTAATAATTAAATTAAATTGAAATTATGAAAATAATTTTTGAAAAAGTACCTCGGGGCTCTCTACCCTAATTTTAAAATAAATAAAAAAAAATTTTCATTTTCAAAAAAAAAAAAAAACAGAGTTTCCACAGGTCAGGGAAGTCAGGGAAAAGTGAGGGATTTTTAGTAAAAGTACAGGAAAAAATTGAATTTTAAAAATTCATGAAAAAACTCTGAATTTTGATGTTTTTTTTATTTGCCTCGTAAACTATGAAATTACCACGAATTTTAATACGAAACCTTGAATTTTTTCTATTTCAGACAATAATTTCTTTTTAAATAACTTAATTTTACAAGAACTATCATAAAATTATGACTTTAATTATTTAGTGAATCATTTTTACAATTTTCGTAAATACTAGATTAATAAAAGAATTTTAGTTAAAAATCCTAAAAAAAAATTGAATTTTGAAAAAGTTACAAATAATTCCAGAAATTCAATTATTTTCAAAAGTAATAAAATTTTTCGCAGAAATTCAATTATATTCAAAAATTTAAAAAAATTCTTGTCAAAATTTCAATTATATCTTTAAAAATAATAAAATTCTTCTCCAAAATTCAATTATGTTGAAAAATTTTTTAAAAATTCTCGTCAAAATTTCAATTCTCTTTATAAATGATACAATTTCTACGAAATTCAATTATTTTTAAAAACTTTAATCAAATTCTTGGCAAAATTTCACAGGAATTCAATAATTTACGAGATTTTTAATAAATTTCTTCGAAATAAATCAATTATTTTCATAAATAATAAAATTTTCACAGGAATTCAATTATTTAATATAAAAAATTTCAAAAATTTTTTCGAAAAATATCAATTATTTAAAAAGTATTTTATAAAATTTGTGGCATGAATTCAATTTTTTAAAAAGAATTTAACAAAGTTCTTTTCAAGAATTCAATTATTTTTAGAAATAGTAAAATTCTTCACAAAAATTCAATTATTTTTATAAACTTGAATGAAATTCGTTGGAAGAATTAGATTATTTTCAAAAGGAATAATATTTTTCGCAGAAATTCAATTATGTTCAAAAATTAAAAAAAAATTCTTCCCAAGAATTCAATTATCTTTATAAATAATAAAATTCTTTAATATTCAATTATTTAAAAAAATTTTTTTTAAATTCTCGTCAAAATTTCAATTATTGTTATAATTAATAAAATTCTTCTTCAAAATTCAATTATTTTTAAAAACTTGAATAAAATTCTTGTTAAAATTTCACTGAAATTCAATAATTTATATAATTTTTAATAAATTTCTTTGAAATAATTCAATTATTTTCATAAATAATAAAATTTTCACATGAATTCAATTATTTAATATACAAAATTTCATAAAATTTTTCGAAAAATATCAATTATTTAAAAAGATTTTTATAAAATTCGTCGCATGAATTCAATAATTTAAAAAAAATTTAACAAATTTCTTTTCAAAGATTCAATTATTTTTATAAATAATAAAATTCTTCACTGAAATTCAATTATTTTAGAAAAATTTTTATAAAATTTTTGGGAAAAGTTTTAATTATTTTCATAAATAATAAAATCTTATCGCAGAATTTTAATTAATTTTTGATACAATATTTTAATCAAATTCCTCGATAAATTTAATTATTCTTAAAAATTTCATTAAAATTTGTCAAAATAATTGAATTATTTAAACATTTGTTGATAAAATTCTTTATGAGAATTCAATTTTAACAAACATTCAATTATTCAATAAATTATTTTTTTTTATAATTTAAATAATTGAATTCTTCTAGAATTTTCTAGTAAAATTTGATTAAAAAAATGAATTACCGAATAATCGATTTATTTATTTATGAAAATAATTTAATTATTGCAACGAATTTTATTAAAATTTTTTCAAAATAATTGAATTTTTTTTAAGAAAATTTACTACTTTTTAAAAATAATTGAATTCTAGCGAAGAATTTTATTAGGATTTTTGTAAATAATAAAATTTTTTTTGAAAAATGGTAATTAAAATTATAACAAAACATGAAGAAGGCGATCACTCCGAGTCGAAGACTCGGAGTGATCGTCTTCTTCATGTTTTGTAATAATATTCTTATAAGTTGTTGCATTTCATAAAGGTTTGATTTTGAATGTATTGAAGAATTTTAATTTCTACGGAAGAATAATAATGATTAAATATTTATTTAAAAGAGAAATTATTGATGTTTTTGAATAATTTTACAATTAATGAAATTTGTAAATAAATGTAATAGAACATTTTTTTGAGATTCTAATAATTTTTAAAGTGAATCAGAGAATATTTTTTAGGGTCAGGAAAAAAGTGAGAATTTTGTCTGGAAATCAGGGAAAAATAAAATTAAATATTTGTGGCAACCTTGAATTAAAAAAAAGAAGTAGAAAAGTATTTTCTAAATTCACCTGTTGGAGTTGTCGGACATTGTCACAGAATTCCATGTGAAAATCGCCGTGAAATACTGTTGTGGATTTACTTTGTTTGGGTGGCGCTGGTAGTAAATTATGAAAAACGTCAACGGTTGGTTCACGAAAAATCCACGTCCCCGTGTCATTTCGCGACACAACCCTCATACTGATCGTTAGATGGCCGTATCTATTGAAAATGTTAATGGCACCACCCAATCTTGGCTTCTGTGACCTTGAGATTTCAAGTCTGGTTATTATCAAGACTGCAATTATCAGAGCGAGTCGCAAATTTTGCCACATTTCGCAACTGATCCTCGATCACAATCCTCTCCTAAAAACGGCACACCTGAAACCAGAGAAAGCTGGGGTTTATTTATTATATTTTTTTTAAAATTAATATAAATTGTTAAGTTTTAAAATCGATGAACTTGAAAACTCATTTATTATCTGTTTGAATTATTATAATCCTTAATAAGTTTGAAAATAATTGAATTCTTTTGATGGAATTTTGCTATTTATGAAATAAAAAAAAAATTTTTTTTTAAATATAATATTTGAACCCTGAGTTTTGTTGTGAGAAATATTCTGTCAAATGTAAATTTTTATTAAATGAAAAACATTAAAAATATTATTAATATGTAAATGAAAATTCTGCCAAAAGAATAAATTACTTAAGAAAGAGACTTGAAAAAAATAGTAGAAGTAATTGTAAAGGAGTGTGAAAAGAATACCTCTCCTTTTCACTTTGCATATTGAAACTGATAGAGATTTATGTGAAAATAATCGAGAACATGAACATACAAAATACTTTAATACGATTTTATTGATTAAATCAGGAATGCATTTAATTGATTAGCATTGAATTCTCAAGGTGTTAATGCCTTAAAGACTCTCGAAAGTGGTGTGTGCTCTTTATACCAGGATATGCCACGTATGTCCATTTTACTTTTCAAGGCGGCGAACAATTATTGTTTTCCCATGATTAAAAAAAAAAAAAAAAAAAAAAAAAAAAAAAAAAAAAAAAAAATTCTAGTAAACAATAACAGTTGTAAATTAGAATCATTCTTAAATTGCCTAATCAAGAAAAACATTATACAAATTATTTCCTCAATAATAGATAAATTATTTCCTCTTAATAAATTATAATATCAAATGAGATAATGAAAAAAAATCAAAATTTCTGTTATTAACTAATTTTATACGAATAATTAAACACAGGTCTAGAAAAACATAAATTTAAAATAAAATTTTAATTGAATATTTTCTAAAAAGAATTGATGAAGAAGAACCGAAGAGAAAATGGAAAAAAATCGAAAAAGTACTTTTTGAAAATTTTTGATAAATATCAAAATTTTGTTGCTTTGAAAAGGAACGTGTAGAGAGAGAGAGAGAGAGAGAGAGAGAGAGAGAGAGAGAGAGAGAGAGAGAAAGAGAGGGAAGGGGAAGTAATAATGTTATTACGATAGTATTTTATTTTGAAAGATTCAATCTGTTTGACGTTAAAACTATCACGACCTTTCACAAATAAGCATAAATTACATGATCGAGCGCTTGCACGTGATCCGCGTGGTTTTTCCTTCGACTGTTTTTGTTCCACAGTGGTAGCACGCTACAAAATTACTATTAATAGCATCAATTATCAAGTCTGGATGAGAGGAGACCCCATAACTATATTTATATATATATTTATTTATACAGAATAATGTAATATTACACACTACGAACTGCATTTAATTTATTATTCACTATTCAAAAGTAGAAAAAAAAAATTATTTTTTAAAAGTTTTCAGAAATTTCATTTTTATTTGTATTTTATGGGTTTTGTATTATACATCTGTATACATTGTTATAACAATATAATACGGTTCTATTATAACATTATACAGTACTATTTTAGAATTATATTAATATAATACTCTAAGCAAAAAAAAAAAAAAAAAAAAAAAAAAACGCTTTCCGAAGAAAACCTAAGAAGGTAAAAATTTGAGGTTATGTTTGTAATCTTTGAAATGGAAAACAGAAATGGGATCAACTCCTTAATATAAATCGATTGTTTACTTCTTTATTATTATATTGAAATCTTGAAATTATTTTGATAATAATTGGATTTTTCGAGAAATTTTTTTAAAATTTCATTAAAAAAGTTTTTTTTAAATAATCGAAAGTTTCCATTTTATTAAACTTTTTAGAAAATAATTGAATTTCGGAGAAGAATTTAATTATTTTATAAAAATAATTAAATTCTTGACACAAAAATTTTATTAAAATTAAAATCTTAAATTTTAAATAATTGAATTCGTACGAATAGTTTTGTTTATTTATGAAAATTGTTTAATTCATGACAAGAATTTTATTAAAACGTTTAAAAAAAGTAATAATTAATTAGTTAGTTAAATATATTTATAATTTTTTGCCTCCATTTTGTCACGTAGTAAAATAAAATTAAAAAAAAAAAAAAAAAAAAAAAAAAAAAATTAGTATTAATAAAAATAAAAAAAATAATAAAATAATTACGTAATGTTATAACAGTGTCACACGATATTACGTGTTATTACACGATAGTAATAAAAAGTATACAGAAACTAGTTAAAAAAATGCAATAATTTAACCGTGTACATGTTTTATATATATAAAATGTAAAAGTTTTGATAATAGAAAATAATTGTAGTCCATGGTATAAATGTAGCTAATTAAAAGTTTATTAAATCAACTCATTGTAATAATATATTATTTAAGAAATCGCCGCGAGACTATTGTAAAACTGATTCGCGTAATGACTGTTGCAGAGTTTCTCGAGCAAAGTGTTTTATTCTTTGTCCCAGTAACCTTTCGCGATCTTCCTTTTCTCGCTTCTTTTTTTTCAACTCTTTTATTTTGTTGTACAAACTCAGCACAGTAATTTTAGTATTTTTAATTCCTATAATATTACTACTGTCTGTTTACTCTTTCATAATTTAATTTTTAATTTATTGTCAGTTTCATTATAGTATTTTTTTATGTCATAATTATTTTCACTATTAAAAAAAAAAAAAAAAAAATGAATGAAAATTGTTGCGATGCAACAATTTTTATTCGTTTTTTGTTTTTTTTCTCTCAACGATATTTTCGGAAAGTTAATTTATTTTTTTTTTAAATTTACCAAATAATGAAAAAAAAAAAAATTAATTTTTAGTAATTGATTTATTTATTATAGAAATAAAAAATTTATAAAATATTATTGCGGTTTAAAAATAAAGAGAGGATGAAATAAATAATAATGTGGATTTATTTTTTCTAAATTAAATCGGTGACACTCGAAAATAGATTGTAACCGTTTGGATGCAGAAAGAGCCTGTAGCTACATCGGTTAGAGTTTAAAAAAAAAGAATACAAAAAAAACAAAGTTAATGCCCTCTCGTGGGTTCGAGGTATGTGCGGGGCTAGATTCTTCTGAAACAAGTTATCCCACATTTCAACTTCTTCCCGATAGTATTAAAAAAACTTGATAAAGATTGGAAAAAAGTGATCTTCGCCAAATCGGTTAAGGAAGCAACTTTCGCATATGCGGAAAAGAAAATCATTTCTGATATATATATGTATTTATATACATACTTGGATTTTTGCAACAAATTAAAATTTTCTAATTTCCATTTAAAAATACTTTTTTCTATTCATTTTTTGAGGAATAAAAGGTTTTGTAAATCAATGTTTACAAAAATATTCGTAAAAAAACATTTATAACTAAATATTTATAAAAACATTAGTAAAAAAACATTTATAACTAAATATTTATAAAAACATTCATAAAAAACATTTATGAACAAATATTTATAAAAAAGTTTATAAATAAATATTTATAAAATCATTTATAACTAAATATTTATAAAAACATTCATAACAAAACATTATTTATAAAAACATTCATAGTAAAACACTTATAAACACATTTATAAATGAATATTTAATACAACATTTTTAAAAAACATTTATAAAAAAACACATTTATAAAAACATTCATAACAAAACATTTATAAAAACATTCATGATAAAACATTTATAACTAAATTTTTATAAAATCATTCATAAAAACATTTATAAACAAATATATTTATAAAAACGTTTATAAATAAATATTTATAAAATCATTTATAAAAAACATATTAAAAAAAAATTCCACAACAAAATGAATAAATAAATAACATTTATTTATTTAAAAAAAAAAAAAAAATTGTTTGTTTAAAAATTGTTGTTTTTTTGTTGTTTTTTTAAAATTTTTTATAAAAACATTCATAATAAAACATTTATGAACAAATTTATAAATAAATATGAGGGGACGGCTTCTAAAAGGGGATACGCGTGGATTCTCACGTATAAGTATTGACGAATAGTGTGATTTTAAAACATTTTCAATTTTCAAATTCAATGAAATAAATTTATACACAATGAAAATGCGCATCTTTTTTTTTAAGAAATAAATTTATATCTTTTTTAGTTTATGAAATAATGAGAAAAAACTAAATTTTTGAAAACCAAAAAATTTAAATGTTTTACGTCTTTAACTCGTGCTGGTGTTTTTGATTTTCCATATTTTGTAATCAAACAAAAACAAACTCACAGATTAAGGTTTCCTGAAACCAACTATATTTTTAAAACTTCAAAATCTTAATTAATAAAAAGTTTATTAATTTTTTCGAAAGACATTGCAAAAAATGTTTTTTTTCAACTTTCAACGCTTCGTTTATCTAGGAAATTTCAAGGTACGAAAAACTTTCAGTGAGAAAGTTTTTTATTACGATACGGACAAGTTTTCTCTAAAATTTTATTAAAATGATATGGATATTTACAAAGTTATTAATGTTTAAAGCATATGGTACGTCAGATTTCTCGCGCCTGGAACGCATTGAGTCCCAAATTGTTCGTTTGCAACGCGTTAAAAATATTTTGTCAATATATATAATAAAATTTATTGAAATTTATTTTTAACCTAAATATTTTATTTTGTTATATGTACAAAAGTCAACTAAAATAATATTTCTTACTTTTAAGTTTCTTGTTTCATTTAGTTCAAGGTTTCCACTCTTCGTAAAACTGATCTCGTTTACTACATTTAATGTTTTTAAAATAATTATTAAAAAACTCCTGTCCGTTTGGAGAAAGATATCGATTTCCTTAATTGTGATAAAAAAATCTCGAAATCCTGGGAAAATTGTATTGGGTTTTACCGAACCCTTTTTTTTGCAGTCAACGGTCGCGGCAACCGCGACTCATCTGGACACCATATTTTTCCGTAGAGTGAAAACAAATGACAACTTTGAGAAAAATAGCATATAAAAAAGGGTTACTTCCTTGAAGTGCACATGATAACAA